ATTCACGTGACTTTAATAACATTTCTTACTTAATGGAAACACTGCCGTTGTGAAACTGTTTTTAACATTAACAGAATACAGTATCAACAAAGTTTTGTGCACATTTGTAATGGAAACACAGCTACTGAGACTTCTGCAGCTCTCAGCAGGTGTTTGTTCCGCTCCTCATGAACAAACTGCTCCAGTTGTCTCAGGTTTGATGTTTCAGCTTCTTCCAAAGATGCTCAACAGGATTTAGGTCAGGATCATAGAAGTCCACTTCAGAATAGTCCAATGTTTTCCTCTGAGACATTCTTGGTGGTTTTAGCTGTTTTTGGTCATTATCCTGTTGAACATCCATGAGTTGCTGAGACCAAACTTTCTGACACTGAGCAGCACATTTCTCTCTAGGATCCTTGATAGTCTTGAGATTTCATTTTACCCTGCACAGATTCAAGATCCCCTGTGCCAGATGCAGCAAAGCAGCCCCAGACCATAACAGACCTCCTCCATGTTTCACAGTAGGGACAGTGTTCTCTTCATAGGCTTCATTTTTCCCTCTGTGGACATACAGATGATGTGCCTTGCCAAAAAGTTCCATTTTTGTCTCATCTGTCCAGACGACATTGTCCCAGAARCTTTGTGRCTTGTCAACATGTAGTTTGGATTTTTTATGATTTGGTGTCCTYCTTGATTGTCTCCCATTAAGTCTACTTTGTCTCAAATAACAATGGGGTGGTGATGGGGACACTGGTGTTCCTTCAGCTTGAAGTTCATCTTTAATCTCTTTAGAAGGGCTCTTTTGTTGCCGTTAGTATTATCCATCTCTTTGATTTATCATCAGTTTTCCTCCTGTGGCCACATCCATGGAGTTTGACTACAGTCCCATGAAACTTAAATTTCTGAATATGTGCAACTGTAGTCACAGGAACATCAAGCTGCTTGGAGATGTTCTTATAACCTTTACCTTTAACATGCTTGTGTATAATTTTCTTTCTGATCTCCTGAGACAACTCTTTCCTTGTCTTCCTCTGGTCCATGTTGAGTGTGGTCCACACCATGTCACCAAACAGCACAGTGAGTATCTGTAGCTCTATATACTGATGACCCACTGATGACTAGACTGTAGACACCTGTGATGATAATTAGAGGACACACCTTGATTTAACATGACCCTTTGGTCACATTATTTTCAGGGGTACCATCATTTCTGTCCAGACCTGTTTGATGAGTTTTATTTTATTCTGTTGAAGCATGGCTGAAAAGAAGTGTGTGACTTTCATTTGTTCATTTTTATTTATTATTACTTTTGTCAACTTGTGTACATAAATAAAAACGTATAAGGGACATTTTTAATATTTTATTTGGCACCCAACCATATAAGTTAGGTAGTTGTTTGTTAAAATGATCTTGTTCCCTGGCTTTTAATACATTTTAGCACCCAGTCCAGATGTACCAACGTTTCCACTTGGTTAATGTTTTTTTGTCGTTCTTTCAGGAGTTTCAGCCCCGGTCAGGTCTACTCCAGTCCTCTTTTATCAGCTTGTACACCATGTTTCTGACCTGGTCTGCCATGACCAATGAGCCAGGTGACACGATTTTACCTTCTAATGTTCCTGCAATTATTGGACTAGATGTCAGATTTGAAGTGCTTTGTGTATGGGAAGAAATTTGTGCCAACAGAAACTCAACGTAAATTGCTCAGAATGAATCTGTATTTCCATAATGTGAAATTAAATACTTTGGTTTGAGAATTAATTTAATTAAATTTAAACTGAATTTAAAGTTTTGAATCTGAATTGATGCATTCCAGCGTAAAAGTGACAAAAAAGAGTCAGTGTTATTTTTTTTACCTATAGAAAATGTTTACATTTACATCCCATCAAGGATCAGTCAGCAGCAGCGTTGCACCGGCTCAATTTGTTTAGAGGATGGCTTGAATCTCTGCCTGCAGCTGGGAGGGATGCTGTGTGGGGACTGTGACGAAGTGACGTCAAAGAGAAACTCTTTAGGAAAGAGGAATCTGGTCTTTGTTTATTGAAACAATATTATTTAAACTCTGACTCTTCATCACTGATAAGGACTCAACATAATCTAAAGAAATATCAGATTCTTCTCTACAGTCTGCGTTGTTAGCTGTTGTAGAAACGTTTTGTTTACATTCAGACATTCCCCTCTGACATCACTTCCTGTCACTTCAAATGCAAATATCTCAACAACTGTTCATCTTAGCAGCATTTTCTGCTGTATGTTATCAGTGCTATCTTTCCAAACATTCATTCTTATTTATTACAGAAATTTGATGTCACAGGCACTTTAAAGTTGTTGCCATCTTGATAGTTGCAAAGCATATTCATTTAAATCGTATATTTTATAGAACAAAAGAAAAATATGAAGAAAATAAAGAATAAATATGAAAATTTTTCAACAAACTTATTTTATGCTTTTCTTTCATCTACTATTAGCTTAAAAACTTATTTCTTCTGTAAATACCCTAAAATGATCTGTTTTTTCACAGCAGTGTTGTGTGTACTCCAGTGTACATTCTTCTTCCATTTAAGATGTAATCTGAAGTTCAGTTATTGTGTATTTGTGTTTTGGATCTTCAGATCAGGAGTGCAACCCCAGTCTGCTCAGTATCTTCCAGCAGATTGCCTCTCCCACACTCCCTCCTGTAGAAACAGAAAATCAGACGGCTGTGGTTATCGTTGGCACTGAAGAACCTGACCTGACGTCCCCGTACCTGCAGTGGTGGGACGCCCAGAGCATTGTTGGCCTCGTTATTTTTGTCCTGTGCATTCTCTACTCCAGGTAAACTATCTAACCAACAATCAGGTTCTTTATTTGCTAACAGCTTTAAAGTTTAGAAATATTAACGCTTAGTATGTTTAATTAAAAACTAAGGTAAACTACAATTAGTCAAATAAAAGAATAGTTTGTTTATTTTGAATTGGGTTTAAATAAAAGATTTATAAACATGAAGAACAGTATATTGAAGACCTAATATTTTTCAAAAGAAGTAGGGATGCACCGTTACC